TCCATAAAAACTTAATTATTACAAATTAATTTTTAAAAATTAATAAATCAAAAAAAGGAACAAACCCCTCAAAACCAGCAAATTTTGTTCTGAAAATTGCAGCCCATGCTCAGAGAATTCAATTTTGGCTCTTGCCATAGGCTCCAGCTGCCTCAGTGACAAAGAGCAGCAAGGCATTCGATAGCATGAGGAGAAACACTCACCTAAACATATTGCTGAAACCTCACGATTATTAACGTTCCATCCTCACAAACCCTGTTTAAAGCCTGCCCTAAAGATCATCAAAGTCAAGGCTTATGGTCATTCCCTGGCATTTTGGAGTGGGTTTTAAGTGATGAAGCATCACCCACTGCCCATCACAAATTAATTTAAAGCTCCAGGTCTTTGGTGGTGCCCGGACAGCAGCAGGTGCTGGGCAGAAAGGCTGAGCTGGGATTTAACTTGGGTGAGTGTGGGCACCCAGAAGCAAGATAACTTTCAACAGCTTCAAACAGATTATTTGCAGTCTGTAGTACTGCCCTTACGGTGAAGTGTCTACAGAAGGCGTTTGTATTGTTGAACTAACTGACGGTCAACAAGCTGTAGGTTTGTTCAGCTTGTGTTTTTTTTTCCTTAGGCTGGACCCAATACAAGTTCCCTTGAGAAATGGACTGGATGAAAAGTGGAAGCAAACAGATAGTGCTATTTTCAAGGACACACTGGGAACTCATGCTTTGCTGGCTTTTTTGCATCTAACGTTGCCTGATGTGGTGCAAAGAGCTAGGATACATTGCAAAGCCTTCCAAATTGGGCTTTTGATTTTTAATAGCCTTGTATACATATTTATGTATGTATATAAACAGTGGAAAGACTGAAAAAGTAGCTTTTTTAATGGTTCAGTCTCCGTCAACCAAATGGTACATTGTTTCAGCTATATTTTTAAAGAGGCACGCAAGAGTTTCATAGAATCGTTGAGGTTGGAAAGGACCTTTAAGAGCATCGAGTCCAACCATAGTCTATACGTTTCTCTGTCGCTTTTTCACTTAAAGAGAAGAAGCTGCGTGAGCGAAGACTCACTTGCCACCCTGACGACTCAGGGAACCTTCTTGCACAAGGAGAAGACTCCCATTTACTGGAAAACTGAACTGGCTCCCACTGAAGCAAAGGACGAGGTTCCAACCAACGGAGGCATGTGAGCCACTCTGTTGTCCGATTTCTCCAGGAGCTGGTAGGGGGCTTTTTTGGTTTTTTGGTCCACAGACCTTTCTGACTTGCTAGCTGAGAGATTTTTCAAGAGGAGTGTAACAAGGGGCTTTGAGCATGAGGTGTCACCGAATTAAAAATCTACAACTTCTCCAAGAAATAGATAGTAGCAGAAAAAGAATATATATCTATACAGTGTGCGCACGTGTATACACATATACTCCTGTTTCATGCAGAAAGCTTTCTAAATAAAAACAAACAAAAAATAACCAGTGCCATACATTATGTAAACTCACAAGGCGTACTTTCAAAACAAATTTGAAGCATAAATTAAAAGAGAGCTAGAAAGAGAGAGACAGAGACGATAGGAAAACATTTTAAATATAGAATTTGCACAATTGGTATTTTTGTTAAATAAGAATAAATAAATTCATTACATCCGTTCACATACCAGTTGTAAAAACAATAAATTATTTTATTTTTTTCAGTGCTGTGTTGCTTTTTTTTTTTTTTACAGTTGTGATTAATCCACAAGATTATTCCCATTCCCCCTTGTGATAAAACTGTTTCCACAGGAGGGCAGCTAAATTTAATTTCTTGTATACAGTCAAACCAAAGACGACAGGCTTTTCCCTAATGAGAATGTCTTATTTAAAAAGCAGATGCTCTAAAACCCACCGATGCTTAGGGGTCCAACTCCACCTTAGGGCTCTGGAGATGTGTCCTCAGAAGTCAGGAGTGAATTTAACACTGAGGATTGTTTCCTTCTGTGTGAAGAGCAATACTCCAGCTTTCTATCCCCGAGATGCATTTCAGGAATCCTGTTTGGCAACACTCGGTAGTAATGGCAAACAATGGCATCAGAGGGTGAGTGACAAGGGATTTAGTTGAGACCAGAAGTTGAAATGACAAAGAAGTCACATCCCTCGCACCAATTCCTCATTCATCAGTTACATGGGAGAGCTCCGACTGACAAAAGCAAGGTCTGGAATTGGAATCTGATTACAAAGAACCGCTAAAAAGCAAGGTTTTTAGAGGAGGCTGACCTAGTGCATCCTACACTTTGAGCATTGCTTCCTTGGTCTGTCCCCTTTGCCCTCTAACCACATAAAGGCAACTGCTTTTTGCTCATGTTAATTTGCTTCATTTACTATGCTGGTGATAAGGGAAAAAGTCACTATAGTGGTTTGTTCTCATACTTACTCATTTTTTATAAATAAACTCTTTCTATGAAAAAGATACTCTTGAGCTAGGGAAGCTTTAAATTTATACCCGCATATGGTATTACTCTTCTGGAGCCTGAATAGCATCCAAAAGCTTTACTCATCCCGTCGAATATATAATAAATTATTACTATGATGCAAACACAAATACTTGCACATTCTGTCTCTACTATGATAAAACACAGGAAAAACAAATGCCACTTATTACAGCAGCTGTATGCCGAGACAAAGGTTAAATCTATGCTGAGACACACTAAGTCTCCTTGTTTTTCCTCTCATGCTGCTTTCTACTTGTTATGAACTTTCTGAGAGGTTCTAGAACATGTGTAATATATATATCTGAATACAAAAATTAGATTACTTGAAAGGAAAATAAGACACTTCAAAGTTATCTTATTTTAATAGGTAGAGAAGGCATAAATTTTAACTTTCCAGAACTCTGCAAACATTCAGAGTCTTGATCTCGGTTCTCAGGGTGGGATCAGAGATTAAGTGGGGAATTTTCCTCAAGATCCACAGTTTTGCATACGACTGCTCCTAAAAAGAAGGCCACGCTGTTTTTGAAAGCTGAAGATGACTAGTAACATCCGCTGGCAATTCATTTTGACAGAAGAGCAGGCCCTGCCCCTATTCCTGTTTATTTAGAACAGGTTACAAAAATAGATACTTCTCCAGGTTTCACACTTGCAGATGTAGCAATGCAACGCTGTTTTGAAATCATCACATGCTTTCTAAGAGTTCATAACAAACACGCCGCAGTTGCAAAAACATGTTTGTGTCAGCCTGGAGCGAGACCTGCCCTTCTTGCTACGCATGCCAAGGAGTTTTCTCTACTGATTTCATGACCGGGATTTTCAGAAGAGCCTCGGGTACTTCAGTGCTCACGTACCATGGACTTACAGCTTTGTCTGAAAATCCTCCTGCAGTCTCAAACTCTCCTGTGTGGACGAACGGAGGAATAAAAGACAGACGGGATTTTATTTTCATCAGTGTTTCCTTCGGTACCTGTTATCCTCGGGCTTAATTCAAAGCCTGCTGATGTAAAAGGAAGTGATTTTAACAGGGTTGCTTTCAGGCCCCCACCTCTTACCTGCGTGAGGTGAGATGCCCACCCTCAGTCACAGAACTACCGGACAACGAGGGGATACAGAAGCTGCTGCCAATTGCAGACTGCTGCCAGGTACTGCCTGTACTGTGGAAACAGTCTTATTGATAGTGGGCAAGCCCTCCACATCCCGATGTGGTCTGACTTCCTAGCGATCCCTCTTCCTCCCAAGTGGGGTAGATGATACACAAAACATGAATGCCTTCGATCGCTTTAAACCCCCCCCAAAACACACACAAAACAATCACAAAGGACAAACAGTTACAAACTTTTGCTGGTAAGATGAATACCAGAGTTAGACATGATGGACAAAACAGTGATAAAATATTAACTGCTTGCTGTGTTTTTTTGACCTTTATAGCCTCTTCAAAGGATGCAGGTACATTACACGTTGTGAGATTCAAGGTGGAAGGAAGCCATAGAGAAAATAACAGAGAAAGCAGTTGAACACAGCCTCAGAATATCTGAGTTAGAAGACACTTGATTATCTTACCTGTAATTTTTGGTTCTCTAACTAGTTTCTACAAAATACAGTATGCCTTTGTTTTACGGAAAGAAGCAGCTAGCAGCTCTTGCTCATCGACAACAAGGACCTCAAGCTGTGACACAGCTGGAACCAGGGGAAGGTTGACAAGCAGAGTGTACACAAATTCCTCCGAGCAGCCAAATCCTCCTTCTGCCTGTGTCTGACATACACGTGGTGAGGAGTCGCTGACGGTGCCGGTGTTTGAGCAGTGTACACGTGGGGATCCCTGGTCTGCAAGCTGCTGCCAACGCTCCTTCTGAGAATTTCTTGGTGGAAACACAGTATTTGTCATAGAACAATGACCTGCTGTCAGGAAATTCCTAGCGTGAAAACGTGTTTCCTTTTGTCAAAACCAAAAGGTATTACTTTTGAAAACCAGCAGCAAGCTCTTCATTTTCCAGTAAAACATCTGCGGCCCTTTCTGAAGAACAGACTAAGTCCACAAGGGCTGCAGATATACTTTGGTCAATCACTTTGCTTATGTAGTTTGTCTTTCGATTTTTTCATAGGACCAAGAGATATAAAGTGACATACCAAATGAAAGATATTTATAAGACAGTACAAAATAAGCTACTGTGGTATCATGGGTAGATGTGACGTTTTCTAAGGACATACTGTATTAGAGGTAGGTGAAAAAGGGGAGATGATTCTGTAACCTTCAAATATCCCAGGATCCTCCATTCGCTAGTTTTTCTTCTTTTGCTTTATTTTGTGTTATATTTTTGCAGACACAGAGGGCTTATAACAAATTTAATGCTTAGTTTTGTGACATATTAAGATCACCCTACTATTATTTAAAGCAGTGCACATCTTCATTTGGTCCAAATAGGCAGATTCTGCCCATAATTTGAGACTGTATGTAAGTACGTTGAAGCCTTTGCTTCTCTCTGTCTGGGCAGACCTAATACCAGTATGTCAACAATGGCTTAATCAAACCTCTTTTAAAGAAGATCAGAACCACAGGTTAACACTTTTTCAACAAGCACTGTTTAAATGCTGAGGGTCTCTGAGAGAGAAGACATCCCTTCGCTAATTTTCCATGCCCATCTTTGCACTGGACAGTCCTGGTGTGCCATCCTGTGTCGCACGTTCGAGAACAAGAAAGCCACGGCCCCGTAACCCAGCGGGGTTGCGTGAGCTGGGGAGTTACTTTGCTGCTGCTGCCGCTGCTGCTGCCGCCGCTGCCGGTGACAGAGTTAGTCATTTGCCCTTGCTTCTTTGGCACGAAGAAACTATAGCGGACGTCCACTGGTTGAGTCGGATCGGTCGCAAGTATCTGCACAATAAGAATCTCTTTTGTGGCAGAGTGTCCCATTGTGTGCAAGAAATCGTCTTTGTGACTCCAGCCGCTGTAGTTCATGACAGTCCCGTTGATGTCAATGATCGTTTCGGAAGTGGAGATCATGTATTTTCCGTTGACAAGGTACTCACCGTTTTTCTTTTTCAGGGCCAGGTACGCGGTGAACCTGCTCTGGTCCTTAGTCTTGAACTGCCGAACTTTGATGTGGGTTGCCCCTTCGGGGATTTTCACAACGTCTGTGTAGCCCTTGCTGAATGAAGGGAAAGAAAAAAAAGAAGAGAGTATTCAGTAGCTAGCATGAAATAAGCCCCAAGTCTTACTGCAACGCCTACTGAAGCCACTGGCATGTCACATCTTGCTTCGTTTCAGTACAGGCCCTGAATCCATCTGGCTTGAGGCTCATCTGAGATGAATTTAACCAGGTTCCACTGTTTGCATTGTTCTTTTGGTTCTTGAAGAAATCTCTACCGCACTTATTTCAAATTGCTTAATCTTTAGCTTTAGTAGCAATTTTACATGAATCACATACAAGAGGAATGAAAAATAACAGAGAGCTGATACATTTCAGCAAAGGGTAGGAGAGATGAAATACGACGCACGCTTTGCCTGCCAAGGAAAAGATAATGAGATATGCATTGGTTACAGCTGTTTCTTGCTGTCTTTGCTATGATGATGATTAAGAAAAGCAGGAGCAGAGTAACAGCTGGGCAGAGGTACCTTGGGAACATTTAAAAATAATCTTGATCACTGAGAAAAAATTAATTTACTTTGAAATTCATAAGGCCAAAGATTAATTGTCAAGTGTCTAATATGAGGTGCACCCAAATGTTTAATTTGTACCATCACAGAGTTGTCTCTGTTGCTACTTATGAAGTATCTTAATTCAGATTTTTAAAAAGGTATTTAGCTCTTCTGCTGAAAGTGATAAGCATTCAAAACCTGCAAGTATGCTGGAACTTACCACTCTCTCGAGTATGTTATTTATTTTAACTTTATTGATCCACAGAAGAATCTAAAGACTACACATAGCTATAAGCTACCAGCTGGACTTTGGAGACATGTATTTTCTTTCTACACCTGTGAGAAAACCATCCTGCAAGTATCTCCTATCTGAAAAGTTTAGTGCTGAAACTTCTAGAAAAGAAGGAATGAGAAAATATACCAAAAATATATGAGTGAAGGGTTCTCCTTTGGGATGGTTTAAAGAACAGACTGCTAATTTTGAGCATTTTTGGCTGCACAAGTAGAGACTGCACAGACTACAGATTAAACGCTAGTGCTAGTCCCCGGCTATTTCCAGCAGTTACGGGACAACGACTAAAGCTCTATTGATTTAGCACCTCCATAAAGCCGAAGGAATATGGTGCGAAAAACAGGCTAGGGGGGAACTCTGCTCTACAGCACTGCACAAATATTTTTACATAACAGTTACCAAGATAACTCTGTTAAAACATGTTATTAAAGTTACTAAATCATTTGTTCAAAAACCAAAAGCAATGCTGGAGAATTCAAGTCGTCTGCATAAAGAACTGTAACACTCCACGCGCATGAAGAAGCACGTGCAGCCTTAATTCTCCTCTTTCCCAACTTCTGACAATTTGGCTTTACGGTCTTTTAAAAAAAGTTCTTAGGAAGCAAGTTTTCCAGAAGATTGTGTTTTGACTGCTTTAAAAGAAAAAAGTACAAGCAAATGTTGTTATGGCAGTTGTCTGCAATGGGAAATATTAATTTCCCCTCGTACATTTAGTAGTTTCCCGGTACATTTAATGTACAGATTACTACAGCTTGGTTTATAATGCAGAGCAATGCAGGAGCTGCTATTTTTCAGTGGAGGAAGATAATGTACTACAGCCACTACCCTTTCATATGTTAAAAGAGTTTAGAGACAATTAAGAATTGATTATTTTAACGAAGGGTTTACTTTAAAGTCAGTTACTTGCGTAAGGGAATTGTCTCAAACAGTACTTCCAGTAAAAAATAAATCCTCGTCACTCCAAAATTCAATCAAAATCAAGTTAGAACATACTTGTTACTTACAGGTTGACTATTACTGTCTAAATGGGGCGACTTTTTGAATGCATTGAGGTTGATTTAATATTTTACTCCCTGACCAGTCTCATTTCAGTTAAAGGCATGATTTGAGGAGTAAGATGGTAACTTCATAGGAATAATTATAATAGAATCTCTTCATTTCCAAGTATATCTGTGCTACAAATCTGGCCGCACTGAAATTCATGGTGTCCCTTTAACATTGTTGCTGGAGCCTGGATTCTAGCGCAAGCATCATTACTGAATCACACGAAGTGTATCATCTCACACTGTCTTCTTCATTTAGACATCCCAGACATTTCAATATTTATAAACTGGAAAAGATTTGGTTTATATAATTACTAATTTGGATGGAAAGTCATTCTTTTTGGCAGAGGTGTTTTGGCATCCTTAGGTGAGTAATCATTGGTTTACCAGGAAGAAGATTAGTTATGTTTAGTTTTAGAATAAATTCACTCTCAAAGTCATTTTTGACTGTTATTAATCAGTATGTCGAAATGTATAGAAATAAAAGGTCACTTCAGGAGTCAGATTCCAACTTCTGGTAGCTTTCAATATGCTAGGTAAGAATTTGGAAAATACAAAGCAAAACAGAGTTTATGTACATTTTAAAAGATGGCACACTAATGCAGTCACAGGTACTGAGCAGAAATTGTCAACTGAACGTTTCTGCAAGTAGATCGCTACAGCAGTCCTTTGAGACCTTGGAAGGTATATAAATTATAATTAAAAATCCTCATTTTTCTATGAATCTTAAGACTTGAAGAGGGAAGGAAACAAGAGTGCAGACAGAAAGCAGACTTACTCGACATTGGTGTCTCAGTAGAAAGCTTACTCCTGCCCTCAGTGTGGTCAGGGAAAACCACAGGGGCCGGTTCCTTTTATTTTACTTGTATAATTACAGTTAAAAGCTGAACTCTGGCAGAAAAATGTCTTATGGATAACTGCTATAAATATTTTGCCTTAAACAAAAAAATCCATCTGGAGATCAACATTCTGCCAATGGACATGAAGGGATAGAGCAAATGCCATGCTTAAGCCTATGTGTACTTCTGACATCTCATCCAGTCATCCAAGCTCCACCTACACTCAGCAGTATGAAAAGGTCCTTTTCGGGTACAATCCCTCTCGGCTATTATGGAAGACTTTTACAGCTCTGCTCTCATGCTGTCTGCTTCTCTCCACTAACCACACAAGGGATCCGTGTCACTATATCAGGTGGAATGTCCTTCTTGTTCTTCAAAGTTAAATGAGATGAAACACATTTTCAGTGTGTAACTTGCTAACACAGCATTATCTGGGAAATGCCAAGTTTCAGAGATACCCAGATTACTCTGACCCCAACAGTTTTCTGATTCACTTCTCTCTTCCCTTTCCTCTCTCCTCGAGAAACCACAAGCCATGGGACACAGCAAGACGAGCAAGCAGCACAAGATGCTATGCCTTATTCTAGGCAGACTTCCCATTAACGGGGTGCTCACCTGTATCACCGGCACTTTGTGTCAGAAATGAACGGGGTACAGTGTTTTGCCAGGTGATTTTTTGCCAGTTTCGGGGTAATGCTAAGATGCCAGCTGTAAACATCTGGCAAGTGCAATAAAGCACAGGCAATGTACTTTTTGGCTGAGTCTTCATATAAAAGTAAATTGCATTTTGAGATAGAAAGCAAGCAAGCACATAGCAGTTACTATGTGTACAACAAGATGCATTTACTAATACTCAAGATCAATACCTCTTTTTGGTGAAGGTTCCCATGACTTTTGTGCAGCTGGAGTTGTCTCCTCCACACACCCCGCATTTGTCATACTGGAGCTTTGAACCGATGATGCCATCGCAACCAGTTCGGATGCATTTTCCCCGGACGCAGACTGAATTACTGTACGGTCGGCATTCAGTACCATCAGTTACCTAGGCAAGCAAAGGACCGTTAGTTAAAACTACCATGGAAAGGATTTGCTTTTGTGAATCTGACTGCCAAAAACCTACTCAGAGCAGAGTGCCTACGCTTACAGACCAGACGGAGTTTCTTTAACATTCCCAGCACAAAAGCAGATGAAATTTAGCAAAGGGCTGAAAGCAATGACAGATAACTCCACCGTAAGACACTAAAATGACCTTGGCTTTAATGACGATCTCGCAGCTTATTAATAATAACAACAACAGTACTTGTAGATAGCCGTGCATTTGAGCTCTCTACATCTCCACGTTACCTTCGTAACATCTAGAAGCAGAAAACTGCAAGTATAAGCATGGGAGACATTTCAGTTTGACTTGCATCTGATATAACAAACTGACCGCAAGTCACATCTATACTAATTGGCTAATTATTCCATATTAATTGGCTCCCATAGAGTTACTCTGGACTCCCTTAACATAAGTCAGGGTAAAACTTACTCTTTTACTCATAGTACTCTTTCTCCTCCAGAAAACCCCAGAATGACAGATGACTCTCCAGGCAGAAACCCCTTTATCCGCTACTGAAAACAAACCAGTGCAGAGCACACCGAGAGGCCCGTATTTTTCATGAATCCACATACTGAGATGTGGAAAAACTTCTCTCATTTTAGAGGCCAGTTCTGGTCCTAATGTATAACCAGTGGATCAAACCATTAAATCTAATCACAGTTAAATCTTTGAATCATATGATTAACTTCTTTTCCTTGGAAGATTTCTAAGATACAGGACACTTCCAAACTGGAGCACGAAATCACGACTGGAGATGCCATTACCTTCTGAGAAAATACCACATAATAGCCAGTTCCTTTGGCTCGGCAGGTGAGCTTGCAAACGTCTCCGGGAAGTACTCCAGCATACTTGGGGACCCATTCAACAAATGTCTTGACACCCTTTGCGTCAGACTGATAGCCATTCCTTGCTTCACACTGCTCTTGTCGAAAAGATTTAGCTGTAGAATTATTCACAGCATTAGTGACTATTTCAGACCACGCTGCAAATATCATTATGCCCATCTATTATTCCAATTTCTTTTTAAAATAGTTTTTAAGTTGCGTCACTTCACCTCTTTACTTAGAACTGGCCTTCAACTGTTTCAGCTTGGAAATCTTCCCATGACACCATATGCATTAAAGCACTAAAGTTTGCATTACGGTTCATTTTCCAGGACTGAAATTTCTTTTCATTCAGGTGTCCTTCCCGAATGGCATCAGGGTGGGGATGGGGGAAGAATTACGGTATTGTATTAATGACAAGTGTCTCGGTAAATACATTTTGGAGGAACCACAATGGACCTTTGTTGTTTCTTTTCACAGTAGATGTTCACTATTTACTATCTATGAACACAGAGGCACTTTGGCAGGAGGGCACTCACCATTTGCCGGGCAGGGTGCGACGTTGCAGGAGCGGTAGATAGCCCTCTTGCCAGTGCAGTACCGGCCGTTGTTTCTCGGAGCTGGGTTATTGCAGTGACGATAAGCAAACTGAACTCCTCCGCCACAGGTACGGGAGCACTGTCCCCAAGGTCCCCAGGACCCCCAGTTACCGTGGCTTGAAGCCTGAAATATATGGAACAGTGGGAGGTAAGGACATCATCCCAGGATGAATAAAGGTGCTACATCTCACAGACACTGCTAATGTTTTCTGCAACTGAAGGCGACTCCTTGGTCAATTTAATCAGGGGTAACAGGTCTTAGCAGCCTTCTCTCTCCCAGTCTGTCTTTTATCTGCGTATTGATGACATCTCATTTGGCACCTTGCTCTGCACACCTGCCTTCAGCCTGTTTCACAGAGGACACCCATGCACCAGAAATAGCACCTGTAGTCTCATGTGCTGCTCTCTTATTTTTTGCTATTCCTACCAACAGGGCCCCTTAAACTAGCTCCAGGGGATTCGGCTCCCAGAATATGTTCATCAGGCTAATCTATGATGAATTAAATGCAATTATTGTGATGTGTAGGTATTGCTCTGAATTACTGCAAGAGATGGAGTTGTCAGATACAGTTTGCAACTCTGCTAAACTGGCTACCAAGAAAGAGTATTGCAACAGCATGTAGAAGTGTGTAATTCCATAAAAAAAGGGCGTTAAAGGGCTGTACCTTGATTTGAGTGACTCTGATAGTTTGCAAATATCTCCACAAAGCCCTACAAGTCCATACCTTTTCTGTGGGTGTAACGGACGCAGCAGTGCTACTGTCTACCCAGTAAATGTAGAAGCACCAGAACTGTGCAGTTGACAGTTCTCATGAGTCTGGGCACACCCCAGATGTATAAAGTTGACAGAGGGGACTCTGTCATTGGAGTTACAAACTTTTCTGCTCCAGGAATTATATTCTGGATGAACTTCATTCACTTTTCTCTTCACTACAGTTAGGGCCTTGGGGCCTTTCAGATGAGGGCTGTAGATTAAATTTACAGATTTAATTTATCTCACAGTCCATTGCCAAGAAGTCAGGAAACTAAGAATAGGTCCTTGACAATCTTTCCGTATGTCCTGAGACCTGACCTACCAAATGGGCAAATCCTCTGCTCTGAAGGGATGCTCCCAGTTTCCCTAGGAATGAAGGCTTCCATACTTCAAGAAGAAAACACGCTTCCTGAAACTCAGCAGCGTTTTTCCTCTATCCCTCACCAATAACACTCCAATTACATGCTCAAAAATAAGGCAGCTTTCAATCTGACTTCCACAAAGTCCCTTTCACTCCCACAAAAATCAGCGCCTTTGAGGATCATGCCTTCTGAAGTTCCCCGGTAACTTACTGAGTAGTATTTCTTCTTGGTTTTGTCAACACATTTTCCCTGGAGGCAGATCCTCCCTTTTCCGCACGGTGTTCCCTCCACGGCAGGCAGCTTCTTAGTCAGACAAACCATCTGCCCTTGGCGCACGACCGCACACCAGAGGCGAGAGCACACATCCATACCGGGACACACCGTGTATTCAGCTCCAAACGCCAGTTTGCACTGACGAATGGCATCGTAGGTTTGTCCCGGCAGCTCCTCGGGGCCCAGGATCTGCTTTCTTGGTTGGTCCAGCAAACAGTTACCTAAAAGAGCAAACCAACTTATTATTACTCGTTGCCCAGTTTCCTCTGCAGTGCTGCAAACCTGTCATTCAAGTTCGGCAGACCAGTATTGACAAGGAATCTCATTCAAAGGATGCTGACGTGAACAGAAAGGCTCTCTGAGGTGTCATCAGGTTTTGGACAAGGTCATACTATTGCACCCAGCAGTGCACCGGGTGTTGAGCTGCCTGTTTCCAATCTGAGGGTGTAAATGAGTTTTACTTGGGTCCCTTTGGCCTTTTATCCCTTTATTTGAATTGACTCTGAACACACTCCACTCTATTTATCAGTTTGTGATTTAAGCAACGATCAGGACTCATGGCAAAGTAAGCAAAGTTGTCATTTGAATTTTGAGATAGAACGTCAGACGTGGTAAAGCTTCTAAAGAGATGCCAGAAAAGTCACAGAAACCAGACTTGTAGCCAATGAGGCATGCACTTAGCAAAAAAAGAAAAAAAAAACAAAAAGAAAAAAAACTCAACAGATCAAAGGAAAAATCGAAGCTGCATATCAAAACTCATGCTGGCAGTAAATCTGGACTGGGGTTTCCTTGTAAGGAATGATACTTGGCTGCTTCTGGAATTAGTCTGAAAAGGGCTATCCATTTTATACAGAAATACATAAATAACAGAAAGAAAAGAAAAAAATAGCATAAACATAAAAAATTGTACATATATTTTGAGATATATTGCAGAGGTCAAGATTTGTCTGGCACACTCTAAACATGGAATTCACATTTACGTTCCAGAGGATCTACCAATAGATTTTTTTTTTTTTTTACTACTATTGGAAACCTCACTTGTTGACACACAGAACTATTTAGTCAGTGTAACCTCTTTTACACTTCATGAAAGGGATATGTGGTCTGGGCAAGCTTCACTTATCCTTGGCCAAAATAACTTACCACGATTTACCTCACTTTGGAACCTACACCAGTATTCTTCAGTTGGCTCATGGGTGAAAAGAGGCTATCTATAAAACCCTCACTTTTTACACAAAATGGAATAGAATTTCAAGTTATGGCAGTGAATTTAAACAAACCAAATACCCCATCTCTCAGTGGCTTGGGTTTTTTCTGCATAACGCACATTTACTGTAATTGTTCTTCTTTTCCTCTAAAGACTAAGGCCAATTAGCCAAATCAGTGAAAAATTCTTTCTGCATCATCCCTTACTACCAAAAAACTCTCTGTCTTGTTAAACCTGTTCCATTTGTCCTTTGCTGACCTCGATCTACCCTAGCCTTATCTTTAATCTGGATTATGCTGACTTTTTTTAATGCAGACAAGGTGTGCCAATGCTAACTGATGAGCTGAGTGCCATGAGATAAAGATAATTAAAAGTACCCATAGCGCTCAAAGTCTGTTGTAGTGTAAAATATTAGAGACATGCTGAGGAGTGAGGAAGCACAGATTTTTCTTCCGGAATTTCTGTAAATGACAAAATTGGGAAACGTTGCTGTCAAAAATCCACTTTGTAAAAGTAACAGCAGAAGTCCTACCTCACATGCCTTGTGATGAAGGAGGAAGCTAATAGTACAGTGTTAGGGCGGTGATGGGAAGGCATGAGCATGTCAACGTTCAGTAGTATATGCTACTATTGTGTACATACTGCAGTTGATCAAATTCCCAAGTGGAACCGTTATTCAGTATTTTAAACCATCGTAATAACACTTAATTTCGCCATGACAGACACTGCTGCCCATCACTGAGATCTACCCCATGACTGACATGACTGGAAATATAAATTTAGAGAAAAAGAAAAAAAAGTCATATCCTTGCATAGACTTGATCTGTCAATCATTTTAGTTAACACTCATTTGAATATCTTTCACATGTGAAAAACAAACAGGTTTCACAACCTTACATAGCAAATAAAGCATTTTTTCCCCTCCAGAACGCAAGGCAATGAGATCCAAACTTCTCCTTAACCGATACCGCTCTGAGGAAACACATATAATTTCTACAAAGCCAGGTGTTCCAGCTGATCTCGGATGATAAATTCAAAACTGAAGATAGCAAAGGCCCCTGAGGAATCCCCACAGGGAAAAAAAAAGAAAAAAAAAAGGTCTTTACATTTACAGGTAGTGGCAGTGTCTCTGTTTAGACAGGTTGCAATGAAGTGCAGGTGTTTTTACCACCAGCTGGTCGAACCTCCTACTTGTAATGGTAAGAAAAGAGTTGAGAAGTTGGGGCATGGTTTGCCCTGGGCCCCCTGGTTGAGAGGGCAGAGACAGCTTCAATTCACTACGTGACATTGCAACGTACAGAGCACGTATATACTGCTACTCCCGTTTGTTTGTCCCCTGTACCAAAGAACATCTGTGTGCCTTGGAACAGAGCAACATTGTTGGCTGATGACAGTGTTAATTAAACCATCTCATTATCTCTCCTCAATGTTATGTGTAATATATCTTGGGAAAAAAAAAGGCAGCGTAGGATCTGTGCAGGAAACAGATAACGAGAATATAAATTAATTAAAATAGAAATAGTCCGTGTTTCAGGTTGCAGAGAGCATGCAGCACTCTGACTAACCACAATAAACAGCAAGCAATCATACCATAGCCTCCTGGCTGGCATGGCAAGAAAGGCAATTAGTACCTCAGGAGAGGGCTGGCGAAAAGCAGATGGAAATAAATGTCACCGTCTTCTGGGTACACTAACTGAACCTTTTCTTCCTAAATGTCAAACTGCTGGCTGGGGTCATCTCATGAGCATAAAACGAATGGTGATATCATGACAATGATGTTTATGGTTCTCAGAGTGGGCCTCAGGAGACAGGGAATCAGCACCTTGATCCTCCCCAGACCTCCTGGTTGACCTTGGACGAGACATTTATATCGGGATTTATTTAGCTGACTTTAACCTGTGTAATGCTGGTGTCTGCAATTCAGTCAGCTTTCAGATGTTTCACTACTCAGGCAAACGAGTTTCTGGTGTAATTCAGCACCACTGATGAGATCAGTCAAACCACTGATGCCATTCATTAGACCCCTCTGCACTACGACGGGAACTCAAAATACCCAGTTTAGGAGTACCTACCTATATAGTAAATACTCACATTTTATAAGATGAGACCAGTCCCCAACATCACTTTCCAAATTTAGAAAACAGGAACATCAGTACTTGACAATGTGATGTTAAGGACTTAGGGAGTCAAGACTGTGATGTTTTCTGTTACAGCAGTATGGGGTGAATACCCAAATCTATATGGGAAATTTACTTAAAGCTTTGGTAAGACACTGACTGTGCTTTGGTAATCGAATAGTGCTCACAGATCCAAACTTCTGGACTTCGTTCACATTTCATTTTGCTTACCCATAAGGAGCAGCAGATGAAGCACGCGATTGATTTCCTGACCCCAATGCTGCCATGCCCCGTTTGTCACAAAGCACACTTCATAAGCTCATGCCCACTCAGACCAAAAGCCCAATGCAAACTGCTTTTGCTGCCTATCAGAGAATGGAAGAGTCTCCTCTGGCTCGGTGTTTCCCACCTAAGCTTCCCATGACTATGTAAAATCCGGTCACAAACATCCTAAAAGAAAGCCTGGTACGTGAACATCTTTATTCTTTTGTTGCAACTCCTATTTTATGCCTTCCTTATCTACATTACGCCTGCAGCACGGCTCAAAATTATACCTGAATGGTTAAGGTTTTTTTCTTCTGCCTAGCAGCACTTGAGAGAGGATTTTCTTTTTTCTATGGGAAGATTGCAGGGGAGCTTGTTCCTGAAAGCAAAAAGGGAGGGAAACCACTGCAACTATACGGCAGTACATCTGCCCCAGCTAAGGAAAAAAATGAGCAACCCAAAAAGCAGACAGACACATGCTTCTTGTGAAGGAAACAGGGAAATATGGCACGTTTGCACTGTTTTATGATCAGCCCAAAGCAGTCTGAAAGGCAGCGTCATGCTCTACTAGGATCCTGTGGTTTCTGGTACACTCAGCGTACATTACAAATGGGAATTATGGAGCTATGGATTCATTCACTGGCTGGAAGAAGAAAATAAAACCAGAAGTTCCCTTCCTAAAATAACGCATGTCCTTTCAGCACAATAATTTGAAGAAACTGCAATTTAAATCATTGGCTTCCATTTTTACTTCATAGATAGCATTTGTGTTCTGTTAAAACAAATCTTTGGTTTAAACTAAATAACTGAAAAATTATAAACTTCAACAGAGAAGGAAGACTCTTACTTAGAAAAGGTCTCTGAAGGCCTGATCTGTCAAGAAGAGAGATTCCCTAAACTTTGAAAACATATCAATAGCATCAGTAATAGAATTAATTCCCAGAGGACTATGGACCTCTATGACGAGAGGTTCAAATTTTCTATGAATTATTTCATCACATCGATAACTCTTTGAGACTGCATGCCTGAGTGATAACTACTCATGAGTATTAGAAAGGGCAATGTACCCTAACCCATCCGTTACCAGACTGACAGATCCTAAGCCCTTTATGTGCAGCAAAGAACAGATGACTTTGTGAGAAGTGTCGGCGGCTGAGGACTGCCAAACCTCTTGTACAGGAGTCGGCACTCATGATGAGCAAGGAGACCGTAATGCAGCTCTGAAGGATGTGAAGCTCCTACCTACTTTTACTGAAAAATGCTGGCAGACTTATATTCTTAGACCTGTAGCGCTGATTGTTACAGACCCCTCTTACTTCCACATTGAGCCTGGGCCAGGCTCATGGATAAGGGTCCAAATTTCAAGGATCCCCCCAGGTACCAACGAGCCAAAGGTGAGGTGAGTGGGAGAAATGCGCTCTCTGCCTTCTTTACTGTCGGAGAAAGTAGCTAGCTGGATACACAGTAAAGAGAAGTCAGGTCACAAAAAAAAGGCAAAAAATGAGAACAACCTTTCTACTGGCCTGCAGCAGGAGAGGATCAGAAGAGAAAATGTAGTTCAGAGTTTTTTGTGCTCTCCTAGAGGTCATTCGTGGATGGCGAGGGAGGTCCCTTTTTGTTACCCCAGTGCACTGTATTGTGCCTCAGTAATTAAACTCGAAAAGGAAAGTTCTCTTTGTATGTGGAAACTAACTTGGTAATATTAAGTCAATGCCAGAGCAATATGGACCATAAAACAGGACAGTACAGATTAATGGATCTAATAAAACTGAGAGAAAAAATGAAGTCATTCTCCAGTAGAGGAAAACAGGAGAAAATATTTCAGAGGACTGAAATTAGCCGACAAAATTTTTAAAAGCAAAAACCCCTTTACATTCAGCAGACATACCACACTTTTTATCCATAAGCATTTTGGTTACCATAACAACTTGATCCATTCACTCAATTATGTCATTTTTATCTCAGCATTTTGGAATTTGAATGGTTTGGTTAAGAACTGCAGTTGCTTTGGGAGCACAATGAAGACTTTAAAATTCATTAAAGAGAGAAGACTATGCTTTTTTATTACTGCCTTCAGAAAATGAAAGTTTTGCACTTATTCTCCAAAGGGTAAATGACATATTTAACAAACATTAGTTACATGACTTGGAAGGTAAGCTCCTGGGGCAGAAGTAATCTTTTATCATAAAGAGCTCAGAGGAGTCTTAATTCTTGCTTACAGCCCCTCTACATAAACATAATAAATACAATGGCATTATAATGTAATAAATATAATGACATTATAAACATAGTTGATGTCATTAATGGTAACAAGAACACATACACTCCACTCGTATCTGTAGGCTAATGCTAAGGAGACGGTATCACCCATTTTAATTTCTGTGAGGAAAAAGCCATTTCCTGGTGTCCTCTGTTTAAAGTACTCTCTGAGCTCATATCTGTGGCATTTGGGAAGACAAGACTGATTTCATGCTTTTAAAAAAACCTCTCCTTGTTCCAAACCAAATTATTGCCAACACGCACTTCATCAACTCTTTCTTTTCTCCTCCATTTGAACCACGCAAAAGGAGGGTGAGACTCTGCCAGCCTTTCAGACTTTTGCTTTGTTTTGCAAGCACTTCTGACATAGTCCTGAAGATGAGCAAGGAATGAACAAGCTTGAACAAGAACAATAAAATGTTCTTATTAAAAAAATAGATCACAGTAAAAACTAACATGCAGCTGACACAAGGCGTGACGATACATACCATGACCATCATCGAAAAATTCTGTTATAGTTGCTGAAGTGCACTTGGACCAGGGTTTTGAAGCATCGATGCTCGTCAGAATGGAGGACATCAGGCGCTTATCTTCCATGGAGCCGAAGTTCTCCTCACAAAATTTTGAGTCATCATGGGAAAGCCCAAGCAAATGCCCTATAGAAATGAAAGAAATAAATATCCGTGACAGAGTTTAGCAGCTGGAGCTCATAGTCAGGGTAAAATGGATTGTATAATTCATTCTCAAATTTTGAACAGCAGCGCAAAGCAGGATGCTTGAAATGTGGTCTCTCTGCTTGAAGGCAAAAAAGCTGTGACAGTTTACACCATTACATATAGCAAGGAAGTAATGCCGTCAGCTGACATCATCGAACTGTGCTGAATCCTGATGAGGACTAAAGTGAACTGTACTTGTTTCTATTAGTCAACAATTTAGTTCTTACTGTTTTTCCAAATCATCTCCAGCAAGAAAGACTAATACTTCACTCTGTAAAGATGTTCTGCAACTGTCGAGAAAGGAGCTACAATATCATTCTAAATGGACAAAAATGCCAGTATTTATGGAGCAACTAAACAAACTGTATGTGCATTCTTAAAGTGCACTCCTCGCTGAAGTGCGAGGACCCTCTACAATACATCAAACAATCTGAATCATGTTTTCAGTCTCTTCCATGTAGAGAGTCTTGTTTTGTGGGAAAGTGGTTTTTAGTATTGTTTTCGTTAGGGTTTTAGTTTTGCTGGTTTTTATTTTTAAATGTATATGGAATTGGATATTTCCATTTGGACTGTATTCCAGTTGGATATTGGAACACAAAATAATGTGCACACAAAGCAGCACATGATGGAACTTGCAAAAATCCTTAATGTCCAGGGGAGGTCGGTCCAGGGCCAGATGGGTTCTTTTAAGTGTGACAGCAACTTTTTCTGTAGATGAGTCATCCCCATCTTCTCTAGTCTCTGGGCAACAATAATAGATTTCAGGCAACACGTTGTTCCCTCTGTAAACATCAGGTTTAATTTTAATTTCTGTGCACACACTGGATTATTTCACAGCCAACTCCCTATCCAAGAGGTAGAAGACTGAATGGGAACCAAAGCTGCAAGGAGCTCAAGCCTGAACTTTACGCTCACAGTCTTCAACCTAGGCCAGGAGATGATTAACCAGACATCCAGGGCTAGACCAAGAGTGCTTTAATAATAAGGACAAAGACCACCTGTCAAAGCCACTGCACAGAAATAAACCTGATGCCCTCAAATAGCAGCTGAAGAGACACCTTGTACTATTCTGCAGTAACTAAAAGCCTTCTACATACCATCGGCTTCGTATTTTGGTGAAATTGCTGTAGACTAGCTGCAAGGTGACACAAGGAGGGACACTGATGGCAGGGCATTGTATTCTGATATCCATAGTAATAGGCATGACAAGAGCAATAACTATAATAAAACCTACAATATAGGCTGGGAAAGAAGAAAATCAGTAAATTTTACCTTACCTAAACTTGCTATTATGTTGTTTTCATCTGTTTTGGGGGAGAAGCCAAGAGGAAAGAGATGAAGGTAGCACTCACTGCTGCGCTGTATCTGAGATTAGGGAAGTAGCCACCTGACCAGAAGTCTGCGTTAAGGCTGCAGGAGATCAGAAATCAGGGTTTCTGTCCTCTGAGAGAAGCCAAGGTAGCACCTGGCAGCCTTACTCAGATGCTGGCTTCCCGACCTAAGGATGGAGCTCCAGGAAAAGCCACCAGAGGACTTTGATCTGTCATTTCTGTTTGTACCAGCAATGACTGGGAACAGCCAGTCGGTCTGCTGCGGCTACTGAACCCCCATGGGGGAGCAGGTGGGAAGGAGAATGAAAAGGGCATTTCTCTTTTTTCCTCTCTTCCCCTGACGGGCACACATTTACCAACATCATTCCAATACAGCTACTATTTGAATAAAAGGCCCTGTAGTATTATAAATGCTAGAAAGAATTGGTTCAAGGAACCTGGGTTAACACTGATCGGAGGTAATACTCCTTTCCCTGTTACTACTGTTGCTAATTGCTACTGCAATGCTGTACCACAAGGACGTTGCCGCAAAAACACAATGAATCAAACTTTCATACCGAAGGCACGTCTAATTACCGGTGTGTTTTATATGCAAGATTATCTTTTTCTGATAGGTAAAACCACTTTCCTTTGGCAATACTTACTATATATGGAATATATAGTATATATGCTAAATGCTATTTTTATTCTGCACCGAGACACGGCTGAATATCAGTAGGTTCATGTCAAGTTTCAATCTGATATAGCACGATATAAATACTTACTCTGAAGAGGTGACAACATCTTTGTTTTATTTAAGCCAAATGCTGGTGCTGAGCAAAATAATTCACTAGTAAGGTGGTTATTTCAAACAGACACATTTCCCTGACAGAGTAACCAAATAATCAGTGCATCACTTCTAACCTACAGAGCAAACTCTGTGGAAGCGCCACAGGCTAAGCGTTTAATGAATCAGCGGCTACCGTGCCAATGAGGACTACCTCTGACTTTCCCAAAGTCCTAGACACCGACAATGAGCACCCTCAGGAAACGCAAAGACGATGTTATTTGTTCCATACCGTGTTATCGCTAAGCTTGTGTTCAGGCGGACGCACTGAATGGCACCGGTCACACCTCATGCCTGAGAACTGTGAGCAGAGCTGACAGGTTAATGAACCTCAACACATGCCGAGTAGTCATGTAACTAGAACCATTTTCTGCTGACATTAAATAACTCCTTGTAGCATGTTTCACCAGCGTTCTGCTAACTTAAGCAAACATTTACTAGAGAGGGCTTTAGGCCTCTCCTCCAGCTTTTGTTGATGGACCCCTCAATATGCGGCGCAGCTCCTCATGGAGATCGGGACCACACACTGCTTCGCAGAGCTGCTCAGGGGTTTCAGCCAGTTTCTTATATTTTACTTGAATACATGCACTTGAATATGCATACACTACCCATCAATTAAACAGAAATATTTGCAAAAAATTAGCCCAGCAAGCAAGAAAACGCTATGCCGGTTAGACCTAAGCCTCACTATAGCAGTCTTCTCTGAGACAACTTGTATGCTCAAAGGTTGCAGGAAGAATGCTGTTGTATTTAATGTCCCAAGACTGCTCATAGTTGTAGAACTACTTCACTGCAGCATGCTTGTGAAATAAGGTAATGAGGTTTTGTCAGTGGAAAAGCAGTTTCATTTCTAAGTCATTGGACTTGGTACTAAACAGCTCGGGGTAAGTAACAAAAGCTGGAGAATTGTTCTAAAAAGTTTGGCTGGATAACATCACGTGGCACACAATGCATGTTCAGTGTAGGACATGAATAATAGTTGAGCACAAACCAGCAATTTGAGAACTTAATTTTTCAGAGCGCTCAACATTTTACAGCACCATCCATAACTACCCAAATCTCTGTGACATGAAGGATGCAGTCTTGCAACACAGAATTCAAGTTTCTTAACCTTAACACCCTCGGCTACCGCTCTGCGACACTCCACCCATGTAAGATACAACTTTGCTCTCTATACAAATCCCCTTCTTGCATAACCGTACTTCACCTTTCGTAACTTTGTTCATCTTCCATGACAGACATCCCAGATGAGCCCGCAGTAAAAGACTTAATACAGCGCAGAAACGCACGGGGCCCGTTAACGCTGATGCTTCTGAATGTGCAACTTGGACATCTCTTGAGTGTCTCTCCTGCCTATGACATTCTTTTAACACAGTTTTTGCAGGTCTAAGTTCCTCCTTGCACCAACTTCATCAGCCCTGGCTTTGGAAAGATCTCTTTGTCTTTCCTACCTGCGTTTTTCAGCCCCGGCTCCTCCTGCAGTGCGATTGGTAAGCACCCTCTAGTTTAGACTACCCACTGCCAGAGCAAGGGGGTCACAGCACATCAAACCACGGGAATCCCACAGCCACGCAATGCCAACGCCCCTGGAGCAGGCCAGGGAGTAGACTGTGCTTTAACTTGCTCCTGGCTTCCCTGCCTAAAGATGCTGTAGTTTCCTTCCCTCTCTGCTCTGAGAGACAACGGGCTGACTCTGCCGAAAATGGAACCGCTGAACTGTGGACTGAAGCTGTTCTTCTTCCTTTCTTTTTCCTCCTTTAGACACAAAAAAAATAAATAAGTACCCTTCAGATATGAGAAAGCTTGTGGCCAAATTTCAAGCTCTTCACTTTGAGCAGAGAGACTGAAAATTTTTCCATGAAATGATTGCAAATCAATCTCCCTCTCAGAAATGGCTGAGCCGTCTCTGCGGAGAAGTTCCGAGTAGGTAAATAAAAAGAAATCCTCCTCAGGTGACTGTTCAGCACAGAGCATTTCATCCCAAATACTTTCGCAAAAGCACAAGAAACTGAAACAGGGTCATCTTCTGGAAAGTGCCAAGCTACTGGCTCCACCTTTAATTAGACTGCAGCATCACTTCTACACTTTACGGGGATAAATGGGGTGAACTGAGGACATACCTCATTAACAGTGTCTACTTTGTCATATTAAATCAGGCCATTGTTCTAATGCATGACGAGTACTAAGTCATTTACTTGGCAGACTTCAGCTTTTTGAGGAGCAGCTTCCCAAAGTATTTGTGAGTTTCTCCTGTTATTTTTAAATTTTTCAAAAATTATTTAAAAAGAAATCACGACAAAGAAAGAAGTAGTGAATAATTTCCAAAATACATAATTCTGATTGTCAGTATTGGAGCTTCTAAATTAACCACCAATGATGTTAGTGAGGAAAACAGCTGTTTATAGCATTAAATATATGGTTTCTAGCTCTCCCTACTGATTTGCCAGTTAACTTTGTATACATGCTTACAAACACTGCGAATGCAACTTTCAAAGAATTTTATGGAATGAAAATTCCTAATTCTTATCACAACCTAAATTTCTCTCCATCCTACCTTTGCCTTCTAAGGCACTCTGACCAGACTTAAAACAGATTAACGCATATGACAAATGACTCTTAAAACTGGTTTTGCATTTCATTAAAAATAATAAAAATCAAAAATATCACAGTGATCCGTAATCTCTAAATACCACCTAGCTAAGGTATGCTCTTTTTAGCACAGAAGTGAGAACAACAAAGTACTTTTGCACCTGTGCCTTTTGTCCTTTTGCATCCGTGAATTA